AATAAAAGGGATGGAGAAAAACCAGGAATTATTTTATATACCTCTATGGCATCTCCAGTATTAGCCTTTTTTTCTAAAGCTAAGTGTAATTATTGTGTTTTAATGGATTAACTAGTAAAAAAGAATTCTTTATGGAAAGAGAAATCAGGTAAATGCCTTGCATATGAAGATTGCATGCTTCTTTTCAGTAATTCTGCAACCAAATCCTTACACTTATTTTTGAGAAAGTAGCTCACTGAGCAACTTGTGGAATGAGGATAAAGAGTAATATAAAAATTGTCAACCTTCAAAAGGTGAATTATGTTTTTAAGACTATAGTGTCTTCATTAAAGTATCGTGGCCTGAATAGTGTTTGCACTGAAGACCTCTTGCTTTACAGTTACATATTCATAGCTGCTTTTCCTATAGCTCCAAGAGTGCATTGTTGCCTGTCTTTTCATGTTTCTACCTGTTTATAACTTCAACCATGCTTTTAGTTTGAAAAGAAAATTAGCATAAATGTAGTTAGGGATAAATACCTACTTTCCTTTTCAGAAAGACACTGCAGCTTTTGAACTGTAAAGCTGTGACTTTCAGTTGTATTCAATTTGGACTAAGTAACTGTGTTTTGGCTATTTTTGCTAACAGGTCAATACACACACACACACACACACATTACTTAGGCAACCCCTCATAGCTCGAGGATGATTGTCTTCCAAATGTGGTGTCTTGGCGGTGAGTCAGCAGTGAGGACATCGGTTTCCAGGTGGAAGGTGGTCCTGGTCAGGATTGGCTTGACACGCCTTCTTCTTGGCACGTTTCTCTCTTTTGCCCTCCGTTCGTGCCTCTTTGAATTCCGCAGCACTGCTGGTCACAGCTGACCTCCAGTTAGAGCGCTCAAGGGCCAGGGCTTCCCATTCTTTATGTCTATGCCACAGTTTTTAAAGTTGGCTTTAAGCCCATCCTCACCCCCTGTTTGGGTATCAGCCAGCATGTCAACGACTTAAATCTAGAAATAGTTTTCTAAGATCTACAGAGACACTCGCTGGAACACCTCAGCAAGCGAGAGTCCAAAAGTGGCAGGCTCAAACCCAGAACCTCAACCAATGGCTGATACCAAATGAGAGACCCCCCCCCCCCCCCGGGCACACAGAGGACTGGGCGACTTGGAAGGCGCTGAACAGACTGCGCTCTGGCACCACGAGATGCAGAGCCAACCTTCAGAAATGGGGCTACAAAGTGGAATCCTCGACATGCGAGTGTGGAGAGGAGCAAACCACTGACCACCTGCTGCAATTCAACCTGAGCCCTGCCACATGCACAATGGAGGACCTTCTTGCAGCAACACCAGAGGCACTCCAAGTGGCCAGATACTGGTCAAAGGACATTTATCAACTACCAAACTCACAAATTTTGTATTTTGTCTGTGTTTGCTTTGTTCTGTTAGAAATGTAATATAATTTGACTGGTTGTTCTGACACGACAAATAAATAAGCCCATCTTTAAATCTCTTTTCCTCTCCACCAACATTCCCTTTCCCGTTCTTAAGTTTGGAGTAGAGTCGCTGCTTTGGGAAAAGGTGATCCAGCATTCAAACAGCCTGGCTAGTCCAGCGGAGTTGATGACGGAGGAGCATCGCTTCGATGCTGGTAGTCTTTGCTTCTTCCAGCACATTGACATTTTTCTGCCTGTTTTCCCAAGAGATTTGCAGGATTTCTCAGAGGCAGTGCTGATGGAATAGTTCCAGGAGTGATGTGATATGTGTGTGTGTGTGTGTGTGTGTGTATGTATATGTATGTGTGTGTGTGTGTGTGTAACTTATTTACATTCTAATGGAAAAATGCACACTACTTTCAGACAAAAGAGTAGATTTTTCTCTATAGCCATTTGAGCTAGTTACGTAAATGTTACGTAAATTTCAGCAACAGTTCAAATATAAAATTAGAGAAAAGGTTAGTGATAGGAAATGTTGGTTGAAAAAAGAAGAATAATGTTATTAAGATTACAGTGCTTTGAAACAATTGTTTTCAGGAATTCAGTTAATATTTAACAATAAAAATGTGCTGGTAATGACACAATTTTACCAAATCTTAGCACCATCACAATTAGTAATAAGTTTTCTTACTAGATCTTTAAAACACATTATTCATAAAGAGCATGTTTTTCTGCACCAGCTTTAACTTTCAATACACCTTTTCTACCAGAATTCCTGATAAAACATAATTGCCTAGAACTCAGTCTGGTCTGTTCTGTAATATATAATTTTCAAATTAATAATTAGGTGATAGATTGCTGTTTTATTTGCATTCAAAAGAGATTTTAGTTCCATGCAATAATATTCCATTATAGCAAAGAAAAGGAAAGAAAAAGGAAAGGGAAGGAAAAATAACCACATTAGTAGTAATGTCTTCTATCTATTGGATCAGTGCTGGAGACAAATGATCTTTCCTGTAATTATCTTTTAATAGTTAAAATGTCGTATTTATTTATGGATAACAGAAATCTATATATAAATTGACTAGCTGTTTCCTGCCACGCGTTGCTGTGGCCCAGTCTGTTGATCTGGAAAATAAAGTAATGAGAAAGTGTTTGTTTCTAATATATGCAATGGGTAAACAGTATTTCTTGCTGTTTCTTTGTCAGTGTTGATGTGGAGAGTGTCTGGTTTGCCCACACTGGAACATGCAAGATATCATTGTCGTTCTTTAAGGGTCCCTTTCAAATCTATGATACTATATCTGTGTGTGTGTGAATCATATCTATCTATCTATATATCTATATATCTCTATGGCTGGATGGCTCTTTGTCAGGAGGATTTTTATTACATTTTCTTGCCCTGATGAGGGGAGTTGGATTGGATGGCCTTAAGTATTTTCTGATGGTTATGGGGGTTCTGTGTGGGAAGTTTGCCCCGATTCTGCCAAGTTTGGTCCAGATCCATCATTGTTGGAGCCCATGGTAGTCTCTGGATGTAGGTGAACTACAACTCCCAAACTCAAGGTCAATGCTCACCAAACCCTTCCAGTATTTTCTGTTGTTCATGGGAGTCCTGTGTGCCAAGTTTGGTTCAATTCCATCTTTGATGGAGTTCCGAATGCACTTTGATTGTAGGTGAACTATAAATCCCAGCAACTACAACTCCCAAATGACAAAATCATAATTTTTTGAGTGATGGTCACTCTTTGTGTTGTGAGACGTTTTGTTGCCAAATTTGGTGTGATTTCGTTCTTTTGGTTCTTTGTTTTTTAAAGTACTCATTATGCACAGAGCATTTTTATATATATAGATTATTTGCATACTTGATTGTCCTCAGTTAATGTCCCTAATACTAAGAGAAGTGGATGCACTTAAAGCATGGAGCAATGCAGTTTTGATTGCCTTAGTGGATGACCTCTGCAGAGAGCTAGAATAGGGGGAGTGTGTCTCTGTTGGTTCTCCAGGATCTTCAAGCAACTTTCGATACCATTGACCATGGTATCCTTCTGGATCATCTCACTGGGATGGGACTGGGAGGCACTGTTTTACAGTAGCTTCAGTCCTTCCTGGAGGGCCGTATCCAGAAGTTGGTGCTGGGGGACTCCTGTTCAAACCCCTAGCCATTGAGGTGCTTGCCATCAAGGGTCCTAATCTGGGGGTGGAGATCTGTCAACCAGTCCTGGATTGGGGTGACACTTCACTTGAAAGACTATGTTCGCAGCTTGGAAGTGCTCCTGGGTCCATCTCTCCAAATGTCAGCCCAGGTAGATGCGACAGTCAGGAGTGCTTACTATCAGCTTTGGCTGATCTACCAGCTGCACCCCTTCGTAGATTTGGAGAACCTGAATGTGGTAATGCACGCAGTGGTAATCTAAAGATTGGACTTCTACAGTGTGCTCTCATTGGGCTACTTTGTACCAAGTTCGGAAAATCCAGTAACCAGATTGGTAACAGGAACATTTAGGAGTGAGCGTATTACACCAGTTCTAAAGTCACTCCACTGGCTTCCAATTAGTTTCTGAGCAAAGTACAAGGTTTTGGTTTTGACCTTTAAAGCCCAGGTAAACTACAGAATCAACTTCTCCTTTATAATCTGTCACACACACTTAGGTCCTCTGGGGGCAGTAACTCTAACTAGCCAAAACCTGACTGGCAACTATCTCCCAGAGGAGCCGTGCCACAACTGTGGAACGACCTGCCGATAAAGCTCTGACAGCTGGATCAGCTGTCGGAATTTAACATACAAGTGAAGACCTATCTCTTCCAGCAGGCCTACCAGACAGTTTTAATTGTGAATTTTAAATTTCACTGTATGCCTTGTTTTTGTTTTGTATATTTTGATATGTATTTTATGGAAGTATGTTTTAATATGTGTATTTTGTGGAGTGTTTTTAAATTATTATGAGTTTATGTTTTGATAATGGTGTAACCCACCTCGAGCTGTGAGGAGAGGCAGGCAAGAAATATAACTATTATTATTATTTCACTATACTTTTTCTCCGTACGACAATTGGATTTTGAAAATTTTGGATTGTCATGGAAATAAGAATTAATATTAAAGCTTCAGTGGAGACACCTTTTCCCCATGATAATTCTTACAGAAGTGAATTTTCCTTCCTAGGGGTAGATTTTCTCTCATTTCCTGTTATCTTACCCTGTTTGTAGCTAGAAGTTGTCTGTAAGTCGGATGTTTGTACTAGGATACTGCCCATATGTAGCATTTAATGTTGTGACTAGAGAATGTTCTAATTTTTTTTGGTCTTAATTTTATCTTGGAGGAGCTCTGGATGAAGAGCAGGATGAAATGCTGTAAATAAATGCATTTTGAAAGAAGGAAGAAAAATGTTTTGCAAACTTTACTGACTGAATTTGACTAAGGCATTCCACATTTGATTTGTATCATGATGTGTCACCCTTTTGTTTAATATATTATTAAAAAGTGAGTGTAGATACGTCTTACACTTGTGGAAATAATCTTTTTGAGTAGTATGCAAATAAATAACCAAATATAAATCAATGTTAATATATTTCCATTCCTTTTTTAGAGTGCCTGGTGAAGAATGCAATGGGATCAATAGCATGTCTACCGAGAGCAGCCCTGGGACAAGACTGAGAAATTTACCAGTAATGGGGGATGGACTAGAAGCTACACAAATGTCTACAACACAGGCGCAAGCCCAACCCCAACAAGGCAATACTCTATCCACTAATCCATCACCTCCAGAGACCTCAAACCCTAACAAACCCAAGCGCATGACCAACCAGCTGCAGTATCTGCTCAAAGTGGTGCTTAAGACACTATGGAAACACCAGTTTTCATGGCCTTTCCAGCAGCCCGTGGATGCTGTCAAACTACAACTCCCTGTAAGTATAAAAGGGAACGGGGCAACAGTGCAGTGGATCTTGGATCATATCAGAGTCTAAGGCTTAGGAACAATGGTAGAAGATGGGAGGGCACAAGGAGCAAGACAATGCTAGAAAGGAGTATGTGTGAGAGAGTAAAGAGGAGGGTAGAAATACTTGAATGTTGGACTATTATGAAGTATAATGTAGAACAGATTTCGCATTTGCATCAAAGGTGCCCAGGTGACTGCAGCAGAATTTGATAAACATGAGGATCAGGTTAGATAGTTTTGAGGGAATTAATAAAGTTTGAGAGATGTGCTATGTTACCTTAAAAGGTTTTATGTAGAAGATTTGATGGATTTTTTCTTGTCCTACTTAATTATTTGCTTCCCCGCAGGATTATTATAAAATTATTAAAACTCCTATGGATATGGGAACAATAAAGAAACGCTTAGAGAATAACTACTACTGGAATGCTCAAGAATGTATCCAGGACTTCAACACAATGTTTACAAATTGTTACATCTATAATAAGGTATTTCATAGAGTTTGTAAATGCATGTCAGTAGTTCCTAAGATCCGATTTACTATATGTGAACATGTTTTCAGGTTTCATTGTTAAATGCTTTACCAACTTAAAGTCTTTATTTTGAAACATAGATTTTCTTTAGGCAAGATTAAACAATTATTCACTTTTCAACACTAATTTAGAAGAGGATTTTCGCTGTTTACTATCTTCTACACTTACTGAATACATAACTAAAATGACAAGTTAAATTAACATATATGTTAAGCTAGATATGCTAGATCACAGATTCACCACATGTGCTGCTGAGATCAAAATAATGAGTGCAGTTTAAGTTTTCAGCCAAGTAACTCAAATATTCTGAATAAATACTGGATTTTGATGTTTTTCTATATCTTTTGGGGTCCACTTTGCATAAGACTGACATGTTTTGGATTATAGATACTACCAGTCATATTTTTCAAACATAATGTTTATATTCCATCATAAAGAGTGATGAGGTGAAATCATCAACATTAATCTAGACAAAGCTGAGTAAATTTCCTAATCTTTGAATTTAGAAATATGAATGCATCCCATAAGTGAAAAATTTAATTTTATATTGTTCACTTGGTTTGTTGATAAATGAAAGGCAGAGTAATGTATGTTTTCAAGGTCAAACAACTGAGTGAAGAGTGCTTAAGTGTTGCAGTGTTTGTGGAATGGTCTTGATTTTGTATTGTGTCAGTGTTCAAAGTTCAGTTTGAGATAATGTTGCATTAGGAGGTTGTAAACTTGGGAGGATTTATCTACTGCACATCTCACTGGATTTTAAGTCCCATTGCTTCCAGACAGTGAGGTTAATGGGATAGAAGGGCTGTTCAGCAACATCGGGGCACTTTATTTGCTTTACTTCTATACCGCATTGAGTCGCCTGTTTGGGCTGAAAAATGCGGTATAGAAGTAAAGCAAATAAATAAATAAATTAAGTTTTCATTAATGATATGTTATAAGGTCTTAATTATGGAAACCAGAATAAAATAACTGAGGAAACCAAATGTAGAGGCAAAACTAATCCATCAAGCAGCTATTAAAAAAGCAGCTATTAAAAATAAAAATAGTGAGTTATAGATTACATAGAATTTCATCAAGTCTTTTAGAGCTGCTTTGTGTGTGACATTTCCTATTAAGAAATAAAAATCCATCCAAGACAAAATGAGACTGGAAAGTCACCACAACATCATTCTACTACTTTTGAGTTATAGAGGCTTCAGCATGTCATCAAGTCGTGTTTCAACAAAATAATTCATGTATTGTGGCCTTAAAAGTAAATTTGATCTTGGGGAAAATGCTCTACAAATAAAAAGAGGGTGGAAATGCATATAATTCTCAAAAAGAAATAATAATGAATTTTTTCGAAAGACAAAAATAAGAAGTCAGAATCTTCTTGGTGACGTTCCTTGACATAGCCAGGCGCTATGTCAGTGTAACTAACTTTTGGGATATTGTACAAGGAGATACTCAATGCCTCCTTGTGCAGTGCTTTCCTCTTTTATACAATTCTAACTGGCATTTCCTACAAGTAAGAACAGTGTGGGAAAGAAGGATAGAATGCAGTGAAGGGCAAATTTGGAGTTCTTAACAAAAGCACAGAATGATTTTAGTGCCCTTATCCAGAGATATTTGAAATAAGCAATACATGTTATGCTGTCATTGTATATTTTACAAATTTGTAAAAAAATAGAGCGAGACTGTCTTAAATAGCAATCTGCCAAATTAACTGCTGCATGTTACAATGAATTTCTGTAGTTTCATGCATCTCCAGGAAAGCTGCATATCTTGTCTTGGTGCTAATATCTCAAAAAATGTGTAACTTTTTGTATTTTTTGTTTCAGCCAGGGGATGATATTGTTCTCATGGCAGAAGCTCTAGAAAAACTCTTCCTTCAAAAAATCTCTGAAATGACCCAGGAAGAAACTGAAATAGTTATAGTCCAGACAAAAGGAAGAGGACGTGGTAGGAAAGAAACAGGTACTGATGCTAGGTCTGCTGTTTGTGTTTCTAGGTTTTGTACCTTTATTTTGAAGCATAAATATCCTCATAGCCATTACATGTTGGTATGTATAGTGAACTTGTATTTGAAATGACTTCATTGAGGTAATTATATATTCATACATCTCCTTGTTTTTGAAGAGAAACTACAAAGTGTCAAAGGTAAGAGGGCAGTTGTCATCCCACCCTAGTCATGTTCCTGAAAACAGTTGTTTTCTTTTTCCTGTAGAACTGAATGACAGCTATTTACTTCTAGAGAAAAAAATATAGGAAGCACCATGAGGGCTAAATACCTCATGCCTTCTGTGAAGTCAGTTATATCATGGACTCAGTAATCTATCTGCAAAACTCATAATATATTGTAAATAATAATTTGGTTCAGAAGAAATATCTTACAGTCATGATTACCCTGTAAAATAATCTTATGAAGTTACCATAACTATTTTGGGTTGCCGTGCGTTTTTCTGGGCTGTATGGCCATGTTCCAGACGCATTCTTTCCTGACGTTTCGTCTGTTTATATGGCAGGCATCCTCAGAGGTTGTGAAAACCTCACAACCTCTGAGGCTGCCTGCCATAGATGCAGGTGAAACGTCAGGAAAGAATGCTTCTGGAATATGGCCATACAGCCCAGAAAACTCACAGCAACCCAGTCATTTCAGCCATGAAAGCCTTCAACAATATTACTATTTTCTTATGTAGACCCTGCTATGCATACTTAGGATGCAACCTCATGTACAAGTTGATCTCATTCATATATAAATGTAGGGTGAGTTTTGGAACCAAAATTCTGGATTTAATATGACCCATGGATAAGTTGAGGGTAGTTCCACAGAGAGTGGAAAGTGTTCATCTTAGGAGGTCATCTACCCCTCGCTGATGCCATGGCTGTTTTTCTATAATAATGTAATAAAACTTTATTTATATATCACTATCATCTCCCTGAAGGGACTTGTGGTTTACAAAGCACTCCAGGGTGCACATATAACATACAAAAAGTATTAAACTTTTTGTATGTTATAATGGTACAAAAGTATTAAACAAGTCACATAAAATTTTAACAACCCCCCATCATCACATGTTAGCATAAAATCAAAGCAATGCCATTTTTGAAACAACAGTAGATAAAACAAACTGCCGTCAATTCACAGGTGCCAAGTGTCAGCTTCATATGGGCCCATTCATCCTACCCAAGGTCAAGGGCCTGTCTGAACATCCATGTTTTCAGGTTGGAATGGAAGGATTGAAGGGTGGGGGCTAATCTAATCTCTTTTGGGAGGGTATTCCAGAGTCGGGGCCACCACGGAGAAGGCCCTCTCTCTCGTCCCCACCAACAGTGCTTGAGACAGTGGTGGAACTGAGAGGAGGGCTTCCCCTGTCGATCTCAGAGCCTGCGCCGGTTCATAGAAAGAGATGTGGTCTCGAAGATAGGTAGGGCCCAAAGCATATTGTAAAAGGCCAGAAGCTTCCTAACAGCAGAGAGAGTACAAGGGCTTGGTTCTTCTTTTAGGTTCTCTTGAAACAGATTAGGCTCTTACCTTTTGTGTCTACTCAGAGAAGGGGGTTATTCATTTTAGATAAAAGTTAAGGTACAATATTTACATTAAGTCAAATTAGGTTTTATGGATCGATTTTTTTTACTATGAGTACTATAGTATAGTACTATATATATACTATATATAATACTCATATAGTACTATGAGTACTATATGAGTACTATATGAGTATATCCAATATGTGTGATTGATAGGTTTCTAACACCATAAGCCATGGAAGGACTTCAGACATCAATCAGTGCATTAGGGACATAGACAAGGGCAGCTTGCTTTTCTCTTTACCTTTCTTTAGACAAAACTAGGCTAGTTTGGGGAGAAAATATTCCTTTGGGATTGTCACAAACTCACTTAAAAAGAAAGTTTGGGTTCATTATGAAGTCAGTGGTTTGTTTTTTTTAACGGATGCAACAATAGAACAAGGGAAAGTAGAAAAGAATGTGAAAACAAAATCAATGCTTAAAAACTTTATTCTTGTTGTAATCTAAACATTTTGGGATCAAATACAGATGTTAGGATCACGTAGGCAGATTCAGCACCCAGCAGCTTTCAATGGTCAAAAGAGATAACCATGGAATAAAGAGGACCAGTTTTCTGGTTTTAAAAAGCCGGATACTGAGATGACAGAATTGCACTCCTGCTCCTTTCCGGAATAATAAAGGTTGCCTGAAATTAACCTTTTCAAAGAATTGTAGGATAAAAATATATTTCTTGTTTAACCTCCATTTGAAAAATCCATAAATTATGTTCTTCTTGAATATGATTTATCTGGAGGACAGAGAATTGGCACATATTTGTTAACTGAAACTAGATTATGTGTTGTGTGTAAACCAAGACTTCATTTTCACATTGAATACACAAAATTGTAATTACAAAAACAAGCAGAACAGAGGTAAAAATAGACTTCAGCTTGTAGTGGCTTACGGACAACGATCTCTGGACTGCGATTTTTGTGATGAGAAGCATGAAGTTTTATTGGTGGCCCAATAATTCGTATTGTTTTATATGTTGCTGTTTTTAAATTGTATATTGCTTTTATCTGTTGTTAAACCGCAATGAGTCGCCGTTCCAGGCTGAGATACTGCGGTATATAAGTGTATTAAATAAATAAATAAATAAATAGTGTTTTCAGCTTGTGGTGATATGTCTTACAATCAGCAATCATTAGATGCCACACAAGCAATAGTAATAAAATCACAATTAATGTTATTAGTTACTGGAATAACACTTGATTCAGTCAGTACAGAATATGTTGATGGGAAATGATGTTGGTGTTTCCTTACTATTAATCAGAGCACTTTGAGTGGCTTATATTGTAGAATCTTGCTCTGAAAAGTTTGTTTTTATACATATTCTGTACATTCATGTACAGAATGTGACATTATCTCTGTTGTCTCAGTTACAGCCAAGGCAGGAGCTTCAGCGGTACAGAACACAACTCAAACTTCATCCCCACCACAGACTCCAGCTCCGCAACAGAATCCTCAGCCTGCTCAAACAACTCATTCCTTTCCTTCTATGACCCCCGACCTTATTGTCCAGGCACCAGTAATGACGGTGGTGCCTCCCCAGCCTCCTGCGCCACCTCCTCCTCCCCCTCCTCCCCCTCCCCCTCCTCCAGCTTCTGCCCCCCAGCCTATTCAGACTCACCCACCAATAATCCCAACAGCTGCACAGCCCATGAAGGTGAGTAGAACATGGAAATATTCAATTGTGCATTACAGTTCCTGTGCTCTAGGAGGGAATATGTATTACATAGGTATATAAGTTGAGGCTTATGCCATACAAAGCATAAAATAATTGATCAATAACTGTTATGATACATTTAATTGCTAAATTTAACATTTTTGATGCTAAAACTTAATACAAGCTTCCAATCCATGCCGGTTTATGTATTGTTGAGAGCAGTTTGAGGAAAAAACAGTTTTTATTTATGTCTCTCTGGGCAATTTGTTACAATTTCCGAAGTGTAACAAAAATAATCTGCTGCAATATAGCAAAATACAGTACAGTAGAGTCTCACTTATCCAACCTTCGCTCATCCAACGTTCTGTATTATGCAGTGCAGTTTGCCTCCTACCCGGATCCACAGCTGTTTCAATACATTAAGATGTTTTGGTGCTAAATTTGTAAATACAGTAATTACTACATATTACCATGTATTGAACTGCTTTTTGTATCGATTTGTTGTAAAACATGCTGTTTTGGTGCTTAATTTGTAAAATTACAATGTAATTTAACGTTTAATGGGCTTTTCCTTAATCCCTCCTTATTATCCAACATTTTTGCTTATCCAACGTTCTACTGGCCCGTTTATGTTGGATAAGTGAGCCTCTACTGAATATAATAACAAAAAGAAAAGGTTTTAGTTTTGGCAGCTCATATTTATGCTATACCCACAAACATTTCTAGATATTTGTGTTATAAATATAGCAGTTGAGTTGTGTGAATTCTCTATAGTACTGGTTTATTGTTGATCTTGTCGATAGTCAGGTTTATTTATTTATTATTTATTTACTATATTTGTATACCACCTTTCTCACCCTATCGGCAACTCAAGGCAGTTTACAACAAGTCAGTATACATAATATCAAAATACAAATTAAACATTAAAAACAATATAAAACCACAACAGAAACAATAAAACCAACATCAGTAGCGTCTCCTAGTTAAGAACATTGTCCAGTTCCATTGTCAAGTGATTCCAATTCCTATGTCAGTTACTCCGCATTTGTAAACGCTTGCTCAAACAACTATGTCAAGTTGAAACAATTTTTGGAAAAATCATTATTCCATTAATGGAGCTCTTCAATAAGTCAGATTTTAAATCAGTCACTTTTAAGTAATAGGGTGTTTTTTTTTTAAAGCTTCAGTTCAAAGTTTACTTCCTCATGAATAAGCCCAGTTGAAAAAACATATTTAATTGAAAGTAGACATCATTTTCATAAAGAGAAATATAGGTCATATTATATAGTTTTAGATCAGGGGTCCCCAAACTCAGGCCTGCGGGCCGTATATGGCACGCCAAGGGCATTTATCCGGCCCGCCTGGCCTGGTCTGGCGCAAAGCCCCTTGCCGTTTCTCTCCCTCCGGAGCGGCTTCAGGCGGGGTCGCGCCGGACCAGGCTTCTCCCTCTTTCTTTCTTTCCTTCCTTCCCCTTCCCCCTTTCTCTCCCCTTCCCCTTCCTTCTCCTTTCCCCTCCCTCCTTCCTTCCTTTCCTTTCCTTCTTCCTTCCTTCCTTCTCTCCCCCCGGATGCCGGCCCGGGGAARCCAGCGCTGCCTGGCCACGCCCACCCGGCGCCGCCTTCGCTTGTTCTCCTGCCGCGGCTGGGAGGGGAACAGGAGGCACCTCATGAGGGCCGCGGATCTTCTTCTGCTGTGCTCCCTTGTTCTCCGTGGCCACGAGACGCCGCTTGCTTCCCTCCCAGCCGCGCCAGGAGGGAGCGAAGGAGGGAGAGGAAAGGAGAAGGAAGGGAAAGAAGGAAGGGGAAGGGAAGAGAAAGGGGCAAGGGGAAGGAAGGAAGGAAAGAAGGAAAGAGAGAGAAGCCTGGTCTGGCCAAGTTTGGTCCAGATCCAACATTGTTTGAGTCCACAGTGATCTCTGGATGTAGGTAAACTACAACTCCAAAACCAAAGGACACTGCCCACCAAACCCTTCCAGTATTTTCTGTTAGTCAGGGGAGAACTGTTTGCCAAGTTTGGTTCCATTCCATCGTTGGTGGGGTTCAGAATGCTCTTTGATTATAGGTGAACTATAAATCACAGTAACTACAATTCCCAAATGTCAAGGTCTATTTCCCCCAAACTCCACCAGTGTCCACATTTGGGCATATTGAGTATTTGTGCCAAGTTTGGTCCAAATCCATCCTTGTTTGAGTCCACAGTGATCTCTGGATGTAGGTAAACTACAACTCCAAAACCAAAGGACACTGCCCACCAAACCCTTCCAGTATTTGGTTCCATTCCATCATTAGCGGGGGGGGGGGGGGGGGGGGTTCAGAATGTTCTTTGATTATAAATCCCAGGAACTACAACTCCCAAATGTCAAAATAATTTTTTTTTGAGTGAAGGACATACATTGGGTTGTTAGGTGTCCAGTGGTTTTTGATTTCTGTTAATCCCACAAATGAACATTATATTTTTATTTATATAGATTTATTTCCTATATTTATACCCTGCCCTTCTCCCCCTGAAAGGGGACTCATGCTTACATATTCCAAAAAACCACTTTCAAAACGACATAAAATATAATTTCTTTCCTCATTTTCATTGGAACTATTTTATTTTCAGAAATGCTAAAGCTATCGTTTTCTATGTACTCCTATATTGCTTTCCGCAGCCCATGGTTGGGTGTGTGTTCTCCTTTTATTTATGGCGGCCCCATGAATTTAATAGGGTTTTCTTTGAGAGGAAATGCTCAAAAATAGTTTTGTCAGTTTCTTTCTCTGAAATAGAGCACCTGCTATTCATTTGTGGCTTCCCATTCAAATACTAACCAGAACTGGCCCTGCTTAGCATTCCAGGTCAGAGACATTTAATCTTTCATTGACTTTGCCAGATATTATTCTTCTGTACAGTCACCTCTGTGACCCAACCTGGACAGGCAGTCCCCAAGTTATAAACAAATTATGTAGTTTTGTCCTCACTGAGGGCTGAACAGTCAACATGTTCATGGATTCCCTGCTGTTATATTAAGACTGTTACCCATGCTGTGACATGCTTGAAATCAAAATTTCATTTATTTGTAATTAGAAATAAATATTTCACAATGTATATTACATATTGTTTTTGTGATTCATCACTATGCTTTATGTTCAGATGGTAACAATAAAATACATCGTGCATATCAGATATTTACATTACGATTAATAACAGTAGCAAAATAAGACATGTGCAGTGTGCATAGAATTTGGTCATTGTTTTTTTAAAAAAACTATAGTCCGGCCCTCCAATGGTCTGGGGGACAGTAATCCGGCCACCGGTTTAAAAAGTGTGGGAACCCCTGTTTTAGACAATAGAATATTCTTCTTGGTGATATCTGTGCCGCTTCCAAATGAGTTTGATGCCTGCTCAGAGATATCATTCAAAATCTTCTAGATCTGAGTAAACCCCACCCTTCCCACATACCATACATGTCTTGGCCCACCAAGCTACTGTCGCCTCTTTTTCTCCCTCTCCACCAACAGATTGACATTGTTCAGTTGTTTTTCTTAGTGTTTCTTTTCCTTTTGTCATCCGCATTGCACTTAACATTCTCTTTCACTCTTTTTGTTTGTTATCACTTTACCTCAGGTATTTTGTTTCCTGCTCCTTGGTGTTAATTTGTATGGCTCCTCTTTTCAAACACTGTGAGGTCCCATTTTCTGACTGACATTAGCACACTCTACACCAATTTTCATAATGCTTATTGTATTGGTGTTTGGTATATAGGTTAGATAGCTTTCTTTAAAATGTATTATTGGCATTCACATAATGAAGTTTATGTGCAATCTTTATTATTCAGTTTTGTCTTGTATACGATGTCTGGTATGAATTCTGTGGGACACGTATTGCCCATAAATGAACAAAAGTTTACAGAGATGGTTTGTTTGCTTTTGCAGACAAAAAAAGGCGTGAAGAGGAAAGCAGACACTACTACCCCAACAACAATAGATCCAGTCCACGAGCCCTCATCATTGCCTGCAGAACCGAAGCCTGCCAAGGCAGGTCCACGAAGGGAAAGCCGACCTGTGAAACCTCCAAAAAAGGATGTTCCAGACTCTCAGCAGCACGTGGTAGAAAAAAGTAGCAGTAACAAAGTATCAGAGCAATTAAAGTATTGTAGCGGTATCATAAAAGAGATGTTTGCTAAGAAGCACGCAGCCTACGCTTGGCCCTTCTACAAACCTGTGGATGTAGAAGCACTTGGACTTCATGATTATCGTGATATCATTAAACATCCCATGGATCTGAGCACAATTAAAGTAAGTGTTGTTTGGCATGGTGATTTATTGAATATGAGGATGTTTCTTTCATTTATAATATTGCTTTGGTATTGGGGTGCCGCATATATCTGTTATATTTGATGTGTAATGTGTATTTTCTGATACTACAGGGTGAGGCAGCATAACTTCCTTTTTTCAAAACTTAATAAAACCCATTGTATGAATCAGAATTTTTTAATATAATGTAGGCGCATACCTAAAGTTTTGTTTTACATAGTTGTGAAGATCAAATTAGGTAGGTGATGTCTCCCATTCTCCATACACTGAGTAAACCGATTTCTGGCATTTGTCATTATTCTTGCCAGCATAGCAGGCGTTATGTGGGCAGTTTCTTCCTGGATGTTGGTCTTCAAATCATGTAGGGTCCTTGGACGGTTCACATAAACACGGGATTTCAAAAAACCCCATAGAAAAAAATCACAAGGGGCCAAATCTGGAGAGCGGGCCGGCCACTCCAAATCCACTCGAAAAGTAGGCTTCAATGGCAAAAGCACGCTCCTCACTGTTCCAACGCATGATAGCAACTGAACTGTGTCAGAACAAAACTTTATACTCTCGCCTCTCAAACGAGACCACTAGCGTTCCGCTACGTCTTCAACTGACTGAATGGCGTGCATTTTAAAAAAGGAAGTTATGCTGCCTCACACTGTTTATAGAAGTTATGCCATGTTGTTTTTATTTGTAGTTATATTCACCAGAGGAAAAACTGTATTGGTAGTTGGATGTAAAAACGTGTGCATATTGGTCAAAGGGATAATATGGATGTTACTTAATAAAAAAGTTGCACAAGCCTGAACATTCTGTATTCAGATGTTCTGTAGGAATTTCAAAGTATCTTTCTTTTTTTTTGCTATACAAATGACATGAATTAGTACTTTACAAAAGTGACCAATGTTTGCTATAATTTCTATGTATGGTTATGGAAGTACTCATTTTCAAAAGTGGTACTGGAGGAAGGTTCTACAGATATTGTGGTCTGCCAGAAAGATCTGTCAGTGGGCCTGAGACCAAATCAAACCTGAATTCTCATTGGAAGTCAAAATAGTCAAACTGGGACTCTCATAACTTTGGACGTATCATACAGATGACATAACTCACTGGAAACAGTTAAGAATGGTAAAGGGAGATGTGGTAGGAAAAGGGGAAGGTCACATCCAAAGTTCATGGGTTCATGCCTCTGAGTTTGCATGATCTTAGAAGGGCTATTAATAGTAGGCTGTGTTTGAGGTCTCTGATTGTCATAAGGGAAAGCCGATTTAATGACAAATAACAACAATATTGTCTTTACTGTAAGACAACTTCTCAAATGTTTGGCCTTTGGAGAAGGACTAAGTAATGTGCAGTAGCCATAGACATTTCTAAGACCTGCAGCTGGAGAAGCAAGAGGAGCGTGAGCGTAAACATTATTTTAAAACTCTGGTGAATAGAAGATGCTGCACCATCATGTGGAGCAGCAGAAAATCAACAGAAACAGTTGTAGTTCAAAGGAACATAAGCTGAAAACTACAAAAAGGCCGTATCATCTTTTTTTCTGCTAAATGCATTCCAAGATTAAACAAAACTTTACAAACATGGAGGAATCCAGATCAAAATTAGCAATAAAATATTATTGCAAGTGTTCCGCCAGCCGAGGGGCCCCCATAGAAGTGGTGGTGGGGAAGGGGAGATGCGGGAAAAGGAGACCATTAATTCGGCCTAGGGACTGTGTAACAACATTAGTAATTCCAAACCGGCCTCCTGACATGGTAAACTGGTGTAACCAGGATGGCGATCCCTCTGAATTGAAGGTGGTGCTGCTGAATGCCAGATCTGTCAATGGGAAAACAACTTTCATCCAGGATTTAATCCTGGATGAACGGGCAGATCTGCCGTGCATTACGGAGACCTGGTTGGATGAAGCTGGAGGCGTGAATTTGACCCAGCATTGCCCGCCAGGTTTTTCCGTGCAGCACCAGCCGAGATCCGGAGGGCAGGGAGGCGGGGTTGCAGTGGTCTATAGGGATTCCATCCCTCTGACCAGGAGCCCCATCCCGCAGTCAACAAATTTTGAATGCGTCCACTTGAGGTTGGGTGACCGGGACAGAATAGGGATTCTGTTAGTGTACCGTCCACCTCGCTGCACTACAGTCTCCTTACCTGAGCTAGCGGGGGTGGTCTCGAGCCTGGCATTGGAGTCCCAGCGGCTCCTTGTGCTGGGGGACTTCAATGTCCATGCCGAGGCAGCCCTTTCAGGAGCGGCTCAGGACTTCATGTCTGCCATGGCAACCATGGGGCTGTCCCAGCAAGTATCTGGCCCCACTCATAGTGCAGGACATACATTGGACTTGGTTTTCTGCCAGGGATGGGAGGAAGGTGGTGGTGTTGAGGAGTTGACCATCTCTCCGTTGCCATGGACCGACCACTTCCTGGTCAGATTTAGGCTCACTGCACCCCCTAACCTCTGCAGAGGTGGAGGACCCATTAAGTTGGTCCGCCCCAGGAGGCTTATGGATCCGGACGGATTCCTGATGGCTCTTGGGGATTTTCCCGCCACTTCGGTAGGTGACCATGTCGAGGCCTTGGTCGCTCTCTGGAATGGGGAGATGACCAGGGCAATTGACAGGATCGCTCCGGAACGTCCCCTCTCAAGTAACCGAGCTAAACCAGCTCCTTGGTTCACTGAGGAGCTGGCAGCGATGAAGCGAAGGAAGAGGGAACTAGAGAGTGTGTGGCGTTCGGATCCGAGCGAGCCAAATCGAACACGGTTTGTGTCCTTTTTAAGGGCATATGCCGCAGCAATAAAAGCTGCAAAGAAGGTCGTCTTTGCGGCCACTATTGCGTCTGCAAAGAACCGTCCGGCTGAGCTGTTTCGAATTGTCAGAGGCCTTTTAAATCCCACCACCCAAGGTGGGAACCCTGACAATTCGTCTTCTCGCTGTGAAGCTTTTGCTCAGTTCTTTGCAGACAAAGTCGCTTTGATCCGTTCTGGTCTGGACACCATGTTAATGGCAGTCTCTGAGGATGTAACACGAGCACCTGCTTGTCCAGTTTTGATGGATTCATTTCAATTGGTGAAACCCGAGGATGTGGACAAGATACTTGGAGGAATGAGGCCAACCACATGCATCCTGGACCCCTGCCCATCCTGGCTTCTAAAGGAGGCCAGAGGGAGATTGAAGGTGGTGGTTAATGCCTCCCTTCGGGAAGGCAAAATTCCAGCGAGCTTAAAACAAGCTATAATAAAACCACTGTTGAAGAAACCATCACTAGATCCCACTAAATTTGACAACTTTCGGCCGGTTTCCAATCTCCCCTTTTTGGGCAAAGTCTTGGAACGTGTGGTGGCCTCACAACTCCAGGTATTCTTGGTAGACACGGATTATCTAGACCTGGCACAGTCTGGCTTTAGGCCGGGACATGGTACCGAGACAGCCTTGGTCGCCTTAGTGGATGATCTGCGCCGGGAGCTCGACAGGGGGAGTGTGTCCCTGTTGGTGCTGCTGGACCTCTCAGCGGCCTTCGATACCGTCGACCACGGTATCCTTCTGGGACGCCTCGCAGGGATGGGTCTTGGAGGTACTGTTTTGCAGTGGCTCCGGTCATTCCTGGAGGGTCGATCTCAGAAGGTGTTACTGGGAGACTCCTGTTCAACCCCACAACCTTTGTCTTGTGGGGTTCCTCAGGGCTCAATATTGTCTCCCATGTTGTTTAACATCTACATGAAGCCGCTGGGGGAGATCATCCGGAGGTTCGGGGTACGGTGTCATCTGTACGCAGATGATGTCCACTCTGTGATCACTCCTTGTCCACCATGTAACTAAGAGACGCATGATCCAGGTCCTGACAACGGGTGGTCTACTTGGCCACTGTGACGGGTTTAGAAATGGATGCATCTCCAAGAATATACCTGTGAAGATGGTGGGAATGAGAGAACTGATTCTGCTGTAGATCTCAGGGTCTAAAGGGCAGCATGTTGTAAGGTGATGCTGACTTCATCCCCCTGAAGACGCAGGTTCGCAGCTTGGGAGTGATCCTGGACTCATCGCTGAGCCTGGAACCCCAGGTTTTGGCGGTGACCAGGGGAGCATTTGCACAGCTAAAGCTTGTGCGCCAGCTGCGCCTGTACCTTGGGAAGTCTGACTTGGCCACGGTAGTCCACGCTCTGGTTACATCCCGTTTAGACTACTGCAACGCTCTCTACGTGGGGTTGCCTTTGAAGACAGCTCGGAAGCTCCAACTAGTCCAACGCTCGGCAGCCATGATTTTAACAGGAGCGGAGCGCAGGGAGCATACAACCCCCCTGTTGCGCCAACTCCACTGGCTACCGATTTGCTACCGGGCTCAATTCAAAGTGCTGGCGTTGGCCTTTAAAGCCCTAAACAGCTCCGGCCCAAGTTACCTATCTGACCGCATCTCTGCCTATGAACCCACCAGAGCTTTGAGATTTTCCGGGGAGGCCCTGCTCTTGATCCTTCCTGCTTCTCAAGCACGGCTGGCGGGGACGAGAGATAGGGCCTTCTCGGTGGTGGCCTCTCGGCTGTGGAACGCCCTTCCCACGGACATTAGGCTAGCACCATCTCTAATGGTATTCCGTAAAAACGTTAAGACCTGGTTGTTTGAGCAGGCATTCGAATAACTAGTGCAATAATTGGTAATGAACATAGGAACAGAAAATGGTTGACGAGTTTGGATTATGTTTTTGTGGATGAGATGATAGTGATTAGTTATTGCAGTAAGTGTTTATTAATTGTGTGCTGCGCGGGATTGTTAACTGTTTTATATCTGACATTGAATTTCTGCTGTTTTGTTGGTTGTGAACCGCTGTGAGTCGCCTTTGGGCTGAGAACAGCAGTATACAAGTAAAGTAAATAAATAAATAAATTACACAATGCTTATTTTAAGAAGTGGATTTCTAAGTAATTTAAGTACTCGGCAACCATGTTGTTGTTTATCTTTCAACTTTTACTCTTTTTTTGCATAGACATAGAAATAATAGTTACCTTACCCATTCACAGGGTGTCAAGACTTTTATATGTAGCTATTCAAATTTTACAGCTATTGTTTGTCTCCTGATTCAGCTGGACCTTCCACCTGCATTCTCCCTTTCTGACGCAGATCACATGGTGGCACAGACAAACCATTTCCTCCACATTAACATCTCTCATTTCTCATCTAATCATTTTTCTAGTGTAATTCTCAATTGGATTTCATTGACTAGAATGTGTTTGTAAATTTACACAGGCAACAAGTGAAAAAAAAAACTCTGTTTCTTTTGTGTTGTTGTAAACATAGATCTACAGAGTCCCTAGCCAGTCACTTTATTGTTGGTTACCGTTTTGCTGTGGGAAAGTAATGATGAATTATGAGCAGACTGACTAGTTTGTGAATACCAGGCAGATATATTGTCAAGAGATACATTTATCATATTGCATTCCTATGAAACATGGCCTACAGCACCTGATATTCATTGGCAATTCTCTATCAAAGTACTAGCCAGGCCTGACTGTTTAGCTTCTGCAATCTTTCAGATTCTGGTGCCTTTAGAATATTTATACCGTGTTATGTGCACTAGGCGCATTTTCCTATTTATTTGTTACATTTCGAACCATCTTTTCTTCTTTAAGGTTACGGTTGTTTACATAACTCTTCTCACTTTATTTTCAAAGTAACTGTGAGATGAGTCAAGCTGAGAGTGACTGTTGCAGGTCACCCATTGAGCTGTATACATTCAGATTTATACAGTACATGATTGAGTTGTGTACATTCAGATGTATACAGTAGTAACAAATAATACCTGTTGCTTATGGTGTATGTAAAGTATTTATGTTGACTTTCTAATATAGTTACATGTTAATATTAAGATAATCTACATAGTAAAATGTATTACAGATAGTACTATGATGAAGTACTGCTGTAGGAGAGGAAATATATGGCTTGGTGATGTTTCTTATCTCTGTGTGTTTCCTGTAGTAGCTATTCTTTCTTGCTCTTTGGAAGAGACAGCCTTTCTTGCATTGAGCAGCACTGTGTTTCAGTCCTGCTTCTTAGTGGGAGTGCAACGATAGTGATGCGAGGATATTAACATATTTAAATTCAGGGTAGCATTTTTGTGCTACTTATGTTCACCGTTGCAGGATTCACTTCTTATCTGTGGTGATGGCATGGCCTGACCTATTCCCCAACAGAATAGGGAAGAAAACATCAGCCTGGCCATTGCATTTAGATAATGTGGCACTGAACTCTCTTTTGACAAGCAAAAGAGCTAAGAAGGGTTTCTTTCCTATCTGCAAGACATCAGGGATATAATCCACTTTCCACAGGCCCCTTTCCTCTTTTCTACAGAGTCCACTGTAAAGGCTATAGGTTGTTGTTAATAGATTAATGTAAATATCTCAAACAGTCACCAGGTGTCATTCAGAAACCTTTTACTATTCCAACATTGAGCTAAGGAGCCCCCATTTGGAATCAGGATCCATAGTTTAAGAAACAATGATCTAGAGGACACTAGACTGAGAAATGTTGTCCTTAGAGTAATTCATTTAAGGTACAGCACACAGGTCTAAAGTAAGGCCGCAGAAGGAATCAAGCTTACGCAGTAGAATCGAGATTAAATCGATAAATGCGGTAGAACCCCAAGTTTAATTCTTTATTTAATGTGCTTGCACTGTTAATGACAGAGGTCTTTCATTTTTTAAATGTCTCCAGTCTAAACTAGAGAATCGGGATTACAGAGATGCTCAGGAATTTGCAGCTGATGTCCGATTAATGTTTTCCAATTGTTACAAGTATAACCCTCCTGACCATGAGGTGGTTGCAATGGCTCGAAAATTGCAGGTAATCAAAATATATCATTTTCTGTTTTAAATTTATACTATCAAAATTTTAAATGTGAATATATATTATTAATTGGAATTTTAAACTGACTTAAAACATTTTGTACAGTGGGAGCCTAATTCCATTAGTCAAAATAAGAATTTAATCTTTCAAATATAAGCCTCTTTTAGACAGACACAACTTACAAAGGGAGGGATGGAAAATGTATTACTATTGTTCCACCTGAGAACTTTATTGGTTGACCATAATATATTTCTAGACTTTTTTTGGAGTTTGCATTTGAAGAGACAGTGAATGAGTCTGCTTTCTTCTAGTAATTATGTGTTGTTGACAGTCAGAGATGGCCCAGGAGGAAAAGCCAGGAATATCTTAAGTGAAGAAGGGGTAGTGTTTTTTCCTGGTTTCTTAAAATACTTCCTTTTTTTGTATCAAAAAAAGGAGAAATTAAAGAAAATGAATTCTGGAATCTGTTCTTCTAGAATGAAAAATAAAGTACTTAAGGAACTATATGCACATATTTAATACCCTAAAATGTTCCTTAGAAGTATGTAGTAGGAAGTCATGGTTAAAAGTATGTACAATCATGGTAGTTCCTGGTCTTGGTTTTCTTTTCACTGTTCTTTTTATGAGAATGGGTATTTTATGCCTCCTTGATACTATGGGGGACTAAAGAAAGTGAAATAATTTTCTTTGTATTACTAAAATGTTAATTATTTGTTTTTATTGTTTGTTTGCTTTGGGGGGGGGGGGATTTCTTAATAAACTGGCAAAGCCAAAGAGATTCTATACAATTTTGGACCTCACAGCTCCATTTGTAAACAAAAAGTAACATTTTTTAAAAAAAGTTTCAATTTGTAACTATTTTCTGAATAAACTATTTTTAATATACCAACATTTGAAATTTTGTGCCAAAACAAGTATTGTATACAGAATACATTTTATTCTCCTAAAGTAACAAAGTGACTTTCAAGGAGAAAAGGAAGGTAATACTGATTTTTTTTCCGTTTCTCCCTAAATTTCTAGTTCTATCTGGAGGAAACTGACCTTAAAAACTTTTAAAAATCTTGCCTCTCTGCGGACTGTACGCAGGTTTCTATGGGTGATACTGTGGAATATATGTAACATATTGATATATTGCATTTCCCCCTAGGATGTATTTGAAATGCGTTTTGCTAAAATGCCAGATGAACCCGAAGAACCTGTGATTCCAGCTTCCTCTCCAGTAGCGGTGCAGCCCCCACCCAAAGTGCCGCCACCTTCATCCAGCGATAGCAGCAGTGACAGTTCCTCTGATAGTGACAGTTCATCAGATGATTCTGAAGAAGAGCGAGCTCAACGACTAGCAGAACTTCAGGAACAAGTAAAAAGTTTGGGCTTTCTGCTTTGAAATATGTAATCTTTTGTCTAGTTATTTGCTTCACTCTGGCTTTCAGCCTTGTGTCTGTTTGGCTCTTTTGACCAAATGTATGTATTAGAAAAAATCATCTATATACACCACTGCAGTTTTTAAATATGTTGTACACCCCATCATTCAAAAGTAAATTAAAATATTTTTTTAAAACACAAAAAAACAGAAATTATTACAGGCCAAACATTTTCTTGTTGCGTCCAAAAGAAAAAAAGCATGCATGTTTTTCAGCATAGCTGATAATCCTGCTTTGAGCAGGAGGTTTGACCTGATCACCCAGGAGGCCTCTTCCAACTCTATAATTCTATAAATTGTGTGTCCTTATCCTTGATGTCACTATTTTAATGTTGAGGAGTGGAAAGTCTATAACCGCCCTGAGTACCTCTGGGGGGAGAGGGAGATCTAGAAATAAAGTAGTAGCAGATGATGTTCTTCTTCTTATTGTTGTTGTTGTTGTTGTTGTTGTTATGAACGCATTGCTAATGAGGTATTGGTGGCCATGTTATGCAACCACAATTCTTTGCTAAGAACCATTGCATTGTACACTAAAGCAAGAGTGGTCATCATACAAAGAGGGGATGCAGTGGGAGTAAAACCAAGACTGAGCAAAGGAGATCAGAACAAAAATATATTGATCTATATGTTTGCTCCTTAGCTTAAAGCAGTGCATGAGCAGTTGGCTGCTCTGTCCCAGCCGCAACAGAACAAACCAAAGAAAAAAGAAAAAGACAAGAAAGAAAAGAAAAAAGAAAAGCACAAAAAGAAGGACGAAGTAGAAGAAAACAAGAAAAATAAAACCAAGGATCCACTACCTAAAAAGGCCAAGAAGAATAATGGCAACAATAGCAACTCAAGGTTAGCCATCTTCCACATCTATATATGTATTTGCTTGTGCGCGTGCGCGTGCATGCATACTTGACAGTTTATCATATATGTTTGATTTGTGTGGTCTGCAGAACAAGAGTGGTGCCAGCATCGTGGCACATCTTTCCTTAGTTCAGCTATGTACAACAGCAGTCAGTACAATACACCCTTTTTGTAGTTGTGTCACTTGCTCATACAATTCCTCTGGACCTCCCTTTCCTAGTAAAATAGGGAGTTAGATTGCCTCTCAGAGAAATATGCAGTTAGGAGAGGCAGACCACTTTCTGAATCAAACGTAGCCCTCTTTGCACTGTTTCCAAACCAGAAATGGACTTCCAGTCACTTATGAGTTGTTTTATTTTTCATTATGTCTGGCCTTGAACAGAGTTCTTATATTGGGCATTTGTACTTACATCTTTTCCCATCAATTTGTTTCAGTTGTTTGCCCAGCTCTATGGTCATTTTAAAAAATTCCATCAACCGCTCTGAGTCCCCTTTGGAGTGAGAAGGGCGGCATATAAATGCCGTAAATAAATAAATAAACTTTAAATCCTCTTGTCTCAAAATGCAGAGAACATGACTCGAGAACTTCTCATGCCATCAGCATGGTCCCCTTTCTGTGTGCCTCTTGTAACTTTTGGTGCTTTGTACCCAAAGCTATTCAAGCCATTTAGGCACTTGAAGTTGAAAATAGCTTAATGCCGTCACCCACTCTAAAATTACAATACAGATTAATGAAATAACAGATTGCACCCTTTTAGTGACAGCCAAAGATAGTTGCCTGAACAATATTATATATTCAGCAGTTGCTAAATGCACAGAATGAAGGTCTGTTGGCTTTTTGATTACTTCAGATGACATGTAAAGTTAACCTGTTTCCAGCATAAATATATCTATGATTGCTCAGAGGTAGTACTTACTGTACAGTGCATTCAATGTTGAAATCCTCTCAGGGAGCAAATTTCATTGAAGAAGGTGCTTCCCGATGAGAGACCATGTTGAATGTCAGCAAGGAGCTTTCAGTGAGGAAGCTCACTTTTCACAGATGAAAAGGATTCTTGAATATCTTCAGTCAAGGACTAAATGGACCCAGTGTATTAAGTGGGTTCTGCCACTGTCAAAGAAACAACTGATACAGCACTATTGTCTCTCACAGCACAGAAATAGGGAAGCAACAGAGGAATAAGGAAAAGAAAGTTGTTCTATAAGCTGCTGGTTTCATAGTTCCAGTGGTGCAGCTCTGATTTTGCTGTCTTGAGTTGTGGTTTTTCCTCACCTCTTCACAGCCTGCCAGATACCATTTTCCCACTTACTTCCTTGACAATCCTCCAATTATGAGTCTCCTTACATTGTTTTACCATGCTCCATTTAACATCATTCCATGTCAATACACAGCAAACATAAACCTTCTAAGGCACCTATGTTTCTCTATTATTTCTTTTGGGCACGATTGTCTGGGTAGCAATGAACTACATCAACATGCAAACTATGTATTAGTAGAACTCTCTATCACCTGACCAGTGGAGTGTGAAACTGGTGTCTAGACTACATTATCTTACCATTATCTTGACTCTGGCAGTGCACAGAGTAGCTCCTTCAATGGCAAATGCCCTCAGCAGGAAGGGCATAGTATTCCACTGTAATCTTGAGATTCTATCAGCCTCTTCACAACCCTCTTCAGGACTCAATAAATACTAAATGCTACCTTTTGGAAAGCATTAGAAAAGACTTTTAATCAAAAAGAGTAATCCCATTGATGAAATAAGATATCCTCTCACATAGTTAGGAAGATAGCGTGCCGCAGTTTAATCACCTCAGATCATTTTTTTTAGCAGAACATATGCAAGAAAACTGCCACCAGTAGATCATATTCTGGAGCTATCTGATTGTTCACTTGTATGTAATGTACTTTGCAACCTCTGCTCTGTCCTCCCACAGCAGTAAACTACCATATTTTATCCCATAATAGTCGTCATTGGAGGGTTGCCTTGGCCAAAGTTCAGAGGGGAGAGGCAGTCTGGGGGGAGAGGTTCAGCAGCTGGTTTGCCTCCTCTGAGTTCCAGAGGGCTGCTTTGGCCAAGGTACCCTTCTGGATCTCACTGGCAGGCACATGGGATGCCTTGCAGCTATAGGGTTTCCATTGGCTGACAGCCAAGGGAAGCCAAGTAGCTGCAAAAAAATTAATCGTAAAATAGTTGTATCCCCCTTTCCCCCAAAGGAGATAAAATGCAACTATTATGTGATGAAATACAGTATATACCAATTTATCAAATAGAATTTAGAAGCACTAGCAGCCAGAAGAAAAGCAAACACATTTCTGTTACTGACATTCCATTTGTTTCCTTCTTTTCATTCTGTAAGAGTAAGCATTTTTATATCACCTAGGCCCATCAGTAGCTATTTTGAAGAGGAATTCTTGTTTTCTTCTTTATCTGATTTTGTGATTCAGCCGTCATTGTATCTCCCAATACATAATAATATTAGCTTTTTGTATGTCTGCAGCTGTATGGAAAGGCTACTTAAGAGAAATGACTTGGTTTTGTTCTCAGCAAGATAATGTTCTGATTTGAGGGAGAAACTATAGTCGGAAAATATTGGTTTAATATATTAGAAATGATGCATCAGATGACAACATGAAAGTGGCACTGCAAAGCATAATGATGCTTAAGTAAATCTCGCATTATACTGTTCATATCATTTTTAACAGAGTAGGCATGGTGGCAGTAATGCAGAGTCCCATAGGTAAATTGCTGCTTTTCTCGTGTACATCACAGCTATTTCTCAAGGGTTTTAAACTTTCCAAAATTTGAATGCATTGTAAATTTGACATAATACAAATAAGAATGCTGTTTTAAAACTTGAAGTACACTGCTACTTCTACATATTCCCTGCTTTGCATCTTACTCACAGGATTGTGTTTGCATCTTACTCATAGGGTTGTGTTTGCTTAAAACTAGTAATGTCTAATTGCCATAGTTAGCTTGTCCTATTTAGCTTGTTAACTTGTTAGATTTAGTTTGATACTCATTCCAAACAGCTCAGCCTCTCTGAACTAGACGCTGACTTAAATAATTTTTTTCTTAACAAAACTTCAAATGAACTTCTGAGGCCAATAGTTTGTTGTATATCCCAAAATGATATTTAGATTGAGCATTCCTTATCCAGAAATCCCGAAAATGAAATACTAAAAAAATGTATAAGATGTATATGAAACATAAGTTATGTTTTTGTTTGGACTAGGACCTCATCTCCAAGATATCTCAATATGTATATTTATGCAAATATAGGTATTCCAAAATTCAAAATATTTCAAATAAGGGATACTCTATCTATAGAGCCCATATGTAAATTACTGTGTTTCCATTTTATTGCCTGAACTGAACTTGAATTTTAACCCCATAGAGAAAAGTCATAAGGTATGCAAAAGATACAGGATGCTAAGAATCTCTGTTTACTAAACAATTATAATATATCAAGCTTAGAAATAGGTTGTAAATTGAGAGCCAAGATTTTAGAGGAGTACATGCACTCTGATTATGACTATATTAGCCTTGTTTTAAATGTTAAGTCAAGTCCTAATAAATAAAAATCCAAGAATTGTTAATAAATCTGATAGACTGTTTTCAAACACGAATTACTATGGGGTCAAAATGGTGTGAAATGATGTGTAAATTCTTGAACTGCATTGTATGAGTCTACACTGAAAATATAATACAGTACAAACTGCATTATTTGGCAGTGTAGATCTAGTCTTCTTGATACCAGATTCATTCTTTCCTTTGGTCAGTTTGGCTGTGCTATTAATTTGTTCAAACAGTAAATATGTTCAGTGCATTTCACACACATTATCTCGGTAATTCTGCGGTAAGAATTACCAAGATTATGTATACCAAATGCACTAAACATTTGAAAAATATTTTCTGCAAATCACAGTTTAATTATGGTATGAAATGATGACTCTTCCAAGGCCATCTAGTAAATCTAAGATTGAGCTAAGATAGGATTTATAGATTTCCTGAACACTCAGATTATGATACACAAGTTTATGTTATATTGCAGAATGCAGTATACAGTACTAAGAACTATTAAAAGTCGTTCATGAAAAGTATTTTTCCTATTAGGAATCTTAGCTGTATTATGTTTCTTAACAATAACACATTGTAATTGTTCTTTAAAGTAGTAAGAAGGAGCCCGTGACTGTGAAGAATGCCAAGCCACCTCCTGTTTATGAATCTGAGGAGGAGGAGAAATGTAAGCCAATGTCTTACGAGGAAAAAAGACAATTGAGCCTGGACATTAACAAGCTCCCTGGTGAAAAACTAGGCCGGGTTGTCCATATCATCCAGTCAAGAGAACCCTCTCTCAAAAACTCCAATCCTGATGAGATTGAAATTGACTTTGAGACATTAAAGGCATCCACGTTGCGGGAGCTGGAGAGATATGTAACATCTTGTTTACGGAAAAAGAGGAAACCCCAAGGTACCTTTCAAGCTCAGGGCATTCCAGCGATGTTTACTAAATTACTTACCTCTGTATAGGGATGGGGAAATGTGTTAGTATTCAGGCACCATAAACTCATGCAAGGAGAAAGAGTCCTTGATCTGGACTTCCAGCAAATGATGGATTAGATTAATAACAAAGGATCAGGTGTGTTAGATGTATTCACTGGACTTCATCTTAATGGTCCATGGTATTTGCCATTGGGTCATAGCCTTCCTCTGCTTAAGACAACACTACTTCAAACAACTATAAAAGTATGCCATGCTGCTGTTTTACTTGAATCTTATACCTTGTTATAATCTGTTTTAACTGCTTTGTTAAATCGATGCACATCGCTTTCATTCATAAACCTCATCCTGAGTAGACACACAAACTTCTTCAGATGTAAAAATAATTCCAAAACTGTATATGATGGTAATTTGTAAAGCAATTAACAATATTACTTTATATTATTTGAAATGTTAAAAAGTTTATGTAGTAATAATTTACTACTTCTTTATAAACATGAATAAAATTTTCTAAAAGATGCATGGAAAAAAAGAAAGATTTTATGTTGGTTGGCATCAGAAAGCTGGTACATAATTGCCAAACCATTTGAGAAATACATAAGTATGAGTTTAGATGGTTATTAGTAATACATTCCCTTTCATTTTGCATTAATAAGAGCAGCTCTCCTTTACCTGGCTTTATTGAAGTTTGGAGCGGGACAGGGAATAAGAGCAGGGCAGCATGGTTTCTCTGCCTTCTGAAAGTTCAAATGCATCAGTATGCATCAATTTGAGGGGAAGTAGCTGACCATAGTGTTTAGTGGGAGTAGTGCATAGCACAAGAATGGATTCTGCGTTATATTGTTGTCCAATGACAATATTGTGCTATTATCTTGTTGCAGCAGAGAAAGTGGATGTAATTGCTGGTTCCTCTAAAATGAAGGGGTTCTCCTCCTCAGAGTCTGAGAGCACCAGTGAGTCCAGCTCCTCCGACAGTGAAGATTCAGAAACAGGTTAGATGCAGATTATTTAAAGACTCAGTCCTATACCTGTTTCCTGTATGAATAAATATGTTTTTAGTACTGGCTTCGTCTTCTTATTTTTTCTTTTCCATTTTTTGTATTAGTATTAAAAGTAGTTTATATGGCTTCTGTATGTCAAGCTTACCCATTTGGGACAAAACAATATAATGGAAGCTTTACATCTGATTATTCAGATGCATTGAACTGTATTTAGCATGGTTTGACCACTTTAATTTGTGCTGTGATACTTTATCAGTCTTGTGGTTTAGATTCACTTAATGGAGAGGAAGCAACATCTTATTTCACTGATAGGAAATAATAACTTTTTAATCCACAAATATAGCTGATTTGCCATTAAGTAAAAATAATGTATTAGTATTAGGAAAAAGAGACATTGAAATAATAGTATTCTTGAAAAACAAACAGAAATGTTTTCAGTCATTTTAAATTAACATTGGGAGAGATTGATTTTTTTCCTGTCTATTTTGAGAGCTTTTACAGAGGCTTCATATAATTCAGAAGGCTAGGTGCAGTATTCTTTGATAAACTATCACTGCAGTTTACATATGTATGTGATATTTTTTCAAGTTGAAAGTGACCTTTCTTCTGGTTCTTTTTGATCCAGCAATAGTATTTACTTATTTCTTTTTGATGTACTTAGTGACAGGGACAAATATTGTAAAATTAATAAGTAGGTATTACAAATATGGCAGGGAGTTGCAGACTCCTCTTACACAGACTACATCATACCCAAATGTTTTGCAAAAGGGAACTCATCCCTGGGACGATATTGTACCAGGGAAGTGTCCACTATCCCACATCGCAGAAATAGGATCCATAGTGTAAGGATCTTATTTCTGATACCCTCGTTACATGAGGAAAAGTTCCAGAGATTTCTCAGGGTAGTGGAGAGATAGCTTTCCCAGGTCTGTCTTCTTGGAATTTTTGAATCCTGGGATTTACTAGGATAAGATACCTGGCTGTGATACTTGACATTTTCAATTTATTTTCTAATTTTTCGGATTCCTTCCTCCCTCCTTCATTTCTCAGACTACCATGAATTTCAGTAACAGTTTCTTTTAAAATTTCAACTGTAAATTTAGGTTTCTGTAACACAAGTGTAAAGATACATACTGCCTGTGTGTGATCCAAGCATTTTAATTAACAGCATGGCTTTGGTAAATATATTTCTATTAGTTTTGTAACATACAAGCAGGCCTCAAGTTAGGAACAAGATAAGTTCTGTAGATTTGTCCTTAAGTTGAATTTGTATGCTCTTTTTAAAGTGTAACTACAGATATATATATGTGTGTATGTGTGCGTGTGCACGCAAGCAAACTTTCAATACTCCAGGGAAGGATTAACATCTCTGTGGGGGTTTGTTTTTCTGTCTGTGCCCCTGATCAGAAGATTTCACCGCACATTGTGTCCCTATGACAATTGGATTTTGAAAAAAAAATGACTTGTTGTGGAAAGCTTCAGTGGAGACACCTTTCTCCCATGACAATTTTTTTCAGGAGTGAATTTCCCTTTTGAGGGGTAGATTTCTCTCACTTCCTGTTGTCTCACCACCTGTTCTTAACTATGAGTTGTTTGTATATTGGATATACTGCCTGTATATCAATATTTTTAAATGCCATTGCTCATATTAACAGGACACTGATACTAGAAAGTCATATTTAGTCTCTGATTGCTTACAGGGTGAGTGCTCATATTTATGTTTTGCGGGTTTTGTCTGTACAAGCTTTTTCTTGTTCAGTTGAATTTAATACTGGAATTATCACAATTTTTACTACATATAAGCTCAGTTTCTTAATAACGTTCATTTTAGTTTTGAGTTCTCTTTTTTAAAATTGAGAAAGCTTGATTTTTACTTTAGTATTAAGTAATAAGCTTTGCTGGCATTATTTGTAAATAGGAATTGATTAATTTATCTATTTATACCAACTCAGCAGTGAGCATAATGTCTATAAAGGATACAACCCAGAGTGGTATATTAATTGTTGAATTTTTTAAAATTCTCCTCTTTCTTGTTCAAAAATGCTCAGAAATTCTGCCTAAAATTTGCTGCTTTTTAATAAGGAACTTGGTGATTTGGTGAGAGTTATCCATTTTTGATGCACATCAGAAAGGCTTCCCAAGTTTTGTCTTTAAATTTTTATATACAAAATCCCAACATTTCTTTTTAAATTGAGGCATTATAATGTGATAATATTGCGATAATGTTGTGGGGAACCTTGTGAAAGGCCTCATGAAATTTAGATATGCTACATCCACAGCATTCCCATCATCTACCAAACTTGTAACTCTATCCAAAAATGAGATACGTTTTGTTTGGATGACTTGTTTTTAATCAATTCATGTTTTCCTTTTGTGAGTATGGCATTCCTTTATTATAAGTGCTTACAGATTTTTTTGTAATTGGGTTCTCTCTTTTTCCTTCTTGACAACATTTGCCCTCCTTCGGTTGCTGAAATTTCCCTTGTTCTCCAGGAATAGGGGAAGTTTATTTATTTATTTACTCTCTGCTTATATACCGCTGTTCTCAGCCCGAAGGCGACTCACAGCGGTTTACAACAAATAAGAACAGCAAAAATTCAATGCTACAATGTAAAAACAGTTAACTACCTAACACATTACACAATTAATAAACAATTACTACAATAACCATTCACTATCATCTCATCATCAGAAAACATGATCCAGCAGTGGTTGTGAAATTATTTCCCTCAGGTCTTTTAATACCATTGGATGTAGTTCGTTTAACCCTGGAGACTTGAATTAATTTACATTATACAGATATCCCTATAGTGCCTCTTTACCTATTCTGTGCTGCATTTCCCCTACCATATCTTCTAGTCCATTATTCCCAAAGTTAGCACTGTTAACTTTTTGGAAGCAGCCTAAGGCAAAGACTCTTATAATTACCGCATTTAATTGCATAATAGTCTCCAGTGCGTAAAACTTGCACCTTCATTTTTTGGGTGCCAAAATTGTATTTTTGTTTTCCTCACATAATAGTCACACCCCCATTTGTGACTGATTTTCCCTTCATTCCTTCTTTTTCCGAAGGCAAGTTTAAAAACTATAAAATGGAGGTTTCTGAAGCTCCATTCTTCTCTCCTCCTTCCTTCTGAGGCAGGGCAGTTTACAAAACCTGGAATGTTGTTCTTAGGAGAAAAGAGGAAAGACCAGAGTTTCAGAGACCTCCGTTTTATAGTTTTTAAACTGCCCTGCCTTTAGAGAAGGAAGGAAGGGAAAATGAGCCCCAAATAGCTCTGCAATTAAAAAATAACCAGATAAACAGAAAAGGAGCTGTGTGTCTGTGGCTGCATTATCCCAACCACCACCTTTTGGATGTAAGACATTTTATTTTATTTTTCAAAAACAACAGAAATCAGAGCATCAGAGGCATATTTTTTCCTTGCATCATTGTTTCACCCCCCCCCTTTTTTTGATGGAAAAGGGGGGAGAAATGTGACTATTATGCAGTGAAATATGGTAGTTCTGCCTTTTCAATCTTTCTAGCAAGTCTAAGCCGGCTTTGCGCTTTAAATTTCTAACTTTATCCGAACACATGCTGGCTATTTCTTTGAATTCCTCTTTGGATATTTCTCCCTTTTCTTGTACATGTGCTTTTAAAATCTTAGCTCAATTGAAAGTTTCTTAGACATCTATTCTGTTTTCTTTAGACACCTCTTGCTTTTTCTCCTCATTGAAACCTTCTGAAATGATGCCTCCAGTGTCTCACTTTTCAGAAATTTCTGTTTCATCATGAACTCCTTTTTTAAAGTCTAGTATGTGTCTCTGACTATGCTTGACTGCTTTTTTCCATTGTGTAACAAACTGTAGAAGAAGATGGTCACTCCCACCTCAAACACCACATTTACCAGCCACCACGGTTATTTAAAATAGATCTAATAAACTAGCTGATCCCTTTGTTGTCTCTTCCATGTTCTGGACCATGACATTGTCTGCAAGACAAGTGAGGATTTTGTTGGACTTGGCAGAGTTTGTCATCAAATAAATATCAGGATAGTTAAAATTTCCAATTATTGCCACATCTCTCCTTTCTGAATGTGCAGTCATTTGTTCTAAGAAGATATCATCTAGAGGTCCCCTATCTACCTTGAAGGTCTGTGGTAGACCCCTACAATGACATTCCCCCCCCCCCATAATTTTTACCCAGATACTCTCAATCTGGTTTCTAGGATTTACGTCATGGGTCTCCTCACAGGTGTAAACGGCATTGATATACAATGTTCCTCCTCCTTTCCTGTTTAGTCTTTTATTTCAAAATAGGTTATACCCCTCTATTACTACATTCCAATCATGAGACTTGTCCCACCAGCTTTCAGTATGCCAATTATATCAAATTTGCTTTGTTGTATTAAGAGTTCAGGTCCATCTTGTTTCTTTCCCATACTTTGTGCATTAGTGTAGAGACGCTGAAGACCGTAGGCCATCCCCTTATCTGCTTATTTAAGTTTTTTTTCTTTCTCTTTGTTGAGTTCTTGAACTTCTTGCCCAGTTCTGTATGTAACAGCTGGGGTATTTTCTGATAAACCCCTGACTACCTGAATGATGCCTCTTTCCCCCAGAAAACTCAATTTAAAGGCCTTCTGATCAGGTTTGTGAGGCTCTTAGCAAAAATGTTCCTGCCAACTTCTGTAAGGTGCAAGCCATCCCTTGCCAGAAATCCAACTTGATTAAATTTCAGAATGATTCAGGAAGACAAATCATTCCTGGCAACACCATCTGTGAATCCAGTTCTTCAAAGAGGGCTACTGCCTTATGCTTGCTGCAGATATGCTATCTTTTGTATTCTCTGGCAAAAGCACAAGTGTTCCACAGCTGTTGCAAGTGACTGCATGAACTCCCTCATCATCTATTTATAGCAGCGTTAAGTAGAAAATTAAGTAGAGAATGGCACAGAAATCTGGGCCTCCCTGTCAAACACCCACACAAACACCATTGTTCATCTCACCCTG